ATGGTTCTTTACGGATATTGTTGTTGTGTGTGCATGAAGACAATTAACAGGCAAGCGTCGTATGCAAAACAGAAAAAAAGTTACTCTGCCTTGAATGAAAGGCGAACATGGTACTCAAAAAAAAAAAAAAGACGAAAAAACAAAAAAACCCATGAAAACAAAATTAGGTGAGATATCCTGTGAAAAAGGAAACTTGCTTGGCTAAAGTACAATAACTATTTATAGGAGGTCACGCACTAAGCACGGACAGGGCCGCCCAAACAGGCAGTAACAGTAACTACTGCATGCTTGTTCGGTCCCTTCCCTGGCAGAGACGCACAACAGGGTGAGCATGGGCTGTTCACACCGTGAAACCTGCCCTGCTTTCTCAGTGGCCCTTTAGATGCACGCTGTGACATTTTCTTAATAGGTTTGTGATGGTTAATGATTTCGCATCGTTATTTCTGTTACTCTTTGGAAACCAACTAGTAAATGGAGATGGTGATCCCCAGGTATTCATCTTTTCCCAGAAGATGGGAGAGAAAAAAGTCATTCATGTGATTATATGCCCTAGTCCTGAGCCTCCAGCTTGGAAATAATTACTTGGTTTGTTTGGGCCTGAATTTATAGCCCAGCCTGGTTCTTCTCAGCATGCCTCCAAGTGGTCATCTTTATTTTTTGTTGGTATACGTTTTCAACGAATGAAGCATGAAACTATATTTTAAAAGTGGCTGAAGTTTTAGCAATTAGGAAATAAAATAAATAACTAAAGCCTAGCCAAGCACACATATGCTCTTTCTGGTCACCTCCCCAGTGCTTTGCCACATTAGTGGCTGGGTAGGGTTAATGTTTGTATTTAGATTTAGTGTTGGGCTAAGCACTTTTGCGTCTATAATCTCATGTATCGTAATACTACCTATCAGGTATTATTACCTATGTTTTATAGACAACAGAGCCAGAGAGCTTAAATGACTTACCTAAAATCATATAGACGATTTGTGGGAGAGATGAGATTTGAACTCAGGTCTTCTAATTCCACAGTTGGTGACCTTTGTACTGATCAATTAGGTGCATCTGTTATAGGAGTCTTTCTATAACTTATTTTCTAAGTGAATTCTATGTTCTATTAATAAGTGAACCCATATACTAAAAAAAGTTATATTCCAGTAGAATTAACAAAATATAAATGATGCCCTGATAATAAAGTCACATGTAAGACTTTAGCATGTTTTATTGTCACATACTTTAAGGAAAATAACTTTCTGATAAACCGATGTCAAATAATGTCAAATACCAGCATTAAGTCTGAAAACATGGATATTCATAAGTGCCATAGTCAAAATACATTAAAATAAGTCTCTAAAAGGTAAAACCACACAGAAGTGATTGGTTTGTGAATTCCTTCATTTAGGAATTATGTTAAGTGAGGGATAGTGGTACTTGAACTTAGAAATTTATCCTGCAAACTTAGACTATCAAAAATGTTCGGATTGTTGTTTCATCTTGAAACAAGGAAATAAACCATAAGTCTAGTGGGAGACATTCAACTGAGAAAGATGGAAGAAGCAGCATTAGCAATAAAAGGAACTAGTAACACCTCCTCACTCTTCCTCGTGCCGTCCTCAACCCAGACTGGGCAGGGAGAGTGACATGAGGTGCTGGGCAGGCTCGGCTCTGTGATGGCAGGAAGGCTCAGGCCACCATGAATCCATAATTTCTACTTCTGAATGAGTGGCCCTTTTCCCCCACTAATTTACTCTTTTGTAATGAGTGAGTTTGAAAAAACATTTTTTTTTAAAAAAAAATTTTGCTTTCAGATGTGGCTCACAGGCCACATTTGAAAATAAATGTTGGCCTTTACCTTATCAGATACTCTATGTCTTATTTTTAAACACGCTTCTCTCGAAGGGCCTGTTTATAGCACGGAGGCCTGCAGGAGACAAGTGGGGGGCAGGATAGTGGATTGCTGCCTGGGGCACTGATTTGCTTGAGAAAAATTGCTGCCAGATGAGTGGTTTCAAAAAGCTCGGGCTGCTGATGTAGTCTTTAGTGGGGATCGGATTAGAGGGTATGCAGTTTCTCCTCTCCTTTATAAATATTTGCTGGAGCGCTAATGGGTTTTTGTGTGCATGTGTATTTCCTTTTTCTTTGGGGAAATTACAAGTAATACAGGAACATCCTGTGATAAAACATATGAAGCCAGGCTGAGAGAATGGATGGATGAAGTGAAAGAAATGAGCCCCGCGTCTCTGGCATGCTGTATATGACTAAAGACTGGGTATCCTGGATTGTCTACAGGTGATTAACTACATTAAATAGAGGATTTCAGAAGGCATAAATAAATAGGCTGTTCCACCAGCAACTTTTAGCATAAAAAGCATGCATCACCATCAAAGAAACCATAAATGCTTTCACAAGCTTAAATTTTATTTTATTCTAAATTCGTACCCAGTCTGGAAGAATCCCAGTGTGAATAATCCCGTTTGGTCTCAAATACTCGCATGCTTCTGAATGAGCAGAGCCTCCGTGGCATTGCTTAAGTGTGGGGTAAATGGCTCTCCCAATTCAGCCTCTGCTAATCTGATTTGATGCCTGCATTAAGTCTGTGAGGCTGGGGGTCATTTAGATCTGAGTTTCTACTCGAAGAAACACAGGAAAGCTCTCCAACAGTGATTGTTAATTCTGTGAAAGATAGGAATGTAGAAATTTCAGAAAATACTAAATCTTTGTCCCCTTAATCTTCTCATTAAAAGGAAGTTTAAATATGGCTCCAATATAATAGAATTGCCTTATTAACATTTTAATTTACCAATCCTCACCTTATGAAGTTAGATATTAATAAATATTTTATAACCACAAATTACATTCCAAATTATTTACTTGCCTCCTTTTAATACGTAGTTCTCTTTTCTGGAGGTAGTGTCTAAGGGGCCTTCTTTTTTTCTTTTGTTCGGTGAGGAAGATTAGCCCTGAGCCAACATCTCTGTTAGTCTTCCTCTATTTTGTATGTGGGATGCCGCCTCAGCATGGCTTGATGAGCAATGTGTAGGTCCGTCCCTGGGATCTGAACCTGCAAACCCCGGGCCACCAAAGTAGAGTGTGCGAACTTAACCACTATGCCACAGGACCAGCTCTTAAGGAGCCTTTGTTGGAGCTTGAAGAAAGCTCTCCCAGCAGGGCACCAGGAAGGCTCTCATCCTGCCCGAAGAGCCCCTCTGGGCTCCTGAGGGTGAGACAGAGCAGCGGGAGGGATATGAGGGGACAGAAGGACAGGCTGGCAGCCCTAGTCCCCCTTCTGCTGCTCCCAGAGATCAGGAGAGAGTGCCAGGGCAAGCCCATCTCCCCTGTCTTGCGTGTCACCCTAACCAGGGGGAGTGAAGAGCCAGCTGACCCTTCCTGTGCCGGGAACCTCCTGTAGGGCTCTCAGCCTCCTCCCTCCTTCCCTCTTACAGAAAGCTCTCTCCTCCTGCTGCCTCTTTCTGAAAGTCACTTTCTTTGTGGACCTGGGCAATGGGGAGAAGACATGGCCGTATCTTTTCTTGCTAAAACCTAGTCACCAGGTAGTGGGTACCTGCAGCAGGATCGATGTCAGGGTGGTTACAGGGGAGCTACCCACATTAGAAAGGTTCTTTCCTGAGCACAACACCTGCTTTTTCTTAGCCTATTAGCTAGAGATGCCCTTTGGCTAGCCAGAGGCCCGCCCCCTCCTGTGGGGGAGTGGAGGAGTAAAATCTTTCATTAAACTATAACCTACACAGAAAAAAGGGCACAGGTCATAAGTGTACATCTCAAGGCGTTTTCACAAATAGAAGCACCCATGTAATCATTATCCAGATGAATTCTTTTTATAGTGGTATTTATTTCCTAATTATAAAAACACTGTGTAGGAATTTTGGAATATTCAGCGAAGTATAGTAAACAAAATAAAAAGCACTCACTGTACCTACTCTCCCCAAAATGACCACTGATAACTTTTTGGTGTGTTTCCAGTCTGTCTATCCCTCCCTGTCACGTACACAGATATGTGTGTGCCTATAAATACAAGTACACAGTACCACAACCTCTGAAGCTTCATGCATGTGTGCACATACCCAAAAAGTTCTAAATAGTTGCAAATAACATGACATACAGATTTTTAGAAATTTCACTGCCTGGTTGTTGGCTTCATCAGTGGAATGGCCAGGAAATCAAAGGAAACCGAAAACCATCTGTCTCCTTACTTGATTGCAGGAAAAGGGCTCCTTGGGAGGGAGGACATATCCATATGGATGCTTCATAGATTTCATTAATGCGATATTTTCCCGTCTCTCAGAAAACTGAGCCTTGATGACAGGAGGTTCAAAGACTTCTGAACCTCTTCGTGCAGAGCCCAGGTGAGACCTGGACTCAGACTTTTCTGGCCACACTGCAAAACTGAACCCCTCCGGGCTCCAGCTTCGTTTTTGCCAGAAGGCCAACTTTATTTGTTTCTTTTAATTAGCTCTCTCACAGATACCCAAATAGACTTTAACCACAGCAGCTCTCACTTTAATAAGAGGAAGCTGAGTCAAAACGTTGGAAATCGGCCCGGTGGTTTTCTGAGTTGCAACAAAATGATCTTCCCCACCACTACTAAAATGGACGAGACGAGGCCTTCACAGCGCTGCTTGCTTTGGTCCTCACTTAGTTTCCTGCTCACATTGCAGGAGAACAGTTGGTACCAGCAGCCCATTGCTATTGGGGCTGCCCCTCTGCCTCCTGGCTGGCCCAGGGCTCAGCTTCTACAGGGGGCTTGATGAGGAGTCCCTTGTGCTGGGAGTTTCCCTCAAACTGCCTATGACTCTCTATTTTTTAAATATATTTTATTTTCTTATATACTGGGGATTTGAGTTATTACATATAGAGAAACTTTATTGGGCTTTCTGTATTTGTAAAATGTCTTCTCAGATCACTGCTTTCTCTCTGCTTGTGAAAAACATGTTCGCGAACAGTATGAAGTGGCCGGTGTGTTTACGCATGTTCCTGTTGTATTGTCTTTGCAGTCGAAATCAGCTGTCCGCCCTGCCCGCCTGCCTGTGTGGTCTGCCTCTCAAAGTCCTAATCGCAAGTAACAACAAACTTGGATCGCTGCCAGAAGAGATAGGTCAGCTCAAACAGTTAATGGAGCTGGTATGTTACTGATTTTTAACTCGCTCTTTTTTGTTTGTTTACTAATCATAGCTTATCAAGGTGGTCAGAGAGACTTTTTGCTACAGTTGGACGAGGAGGAGCCAACGTTGTGGGAGGCATTGATAAAGGCGTTATGTAAGGAAAGGAGTAATCTTGGCCTGGCTGTGACACACAGAGTTCCTGAAATTTACAGGTTTCCTGTAGTTTATACTTTCTGACGTTCACAGGATTTACAGTTCCTGAGGTTTACAGGTTACGTATGGTAGTTAGGTCATTTTTTTTTCAGACTGCTTATAAGTTGGTGACAAATTATGGATAAAATGGCAAAATAGCCTACAAATAAGTTAGTAGGCCACACTCTATGAATGCATATAATTAAGTCGGGAGGAACAGAACGCTCTGATTCTGTAAGGATTTTAGTAACCATTGCCCTAAATTGATGTAACATTAAAATGTGGCCATATCCCCAGAGATAAGAAAGGACGGGTTGTAGATGGGCAGAGATGGGTTGTAAGTGTGTACGGGAGGCCAGGATGCGCTGCTCTATTTCAGCTCTTTTACTACTAATTGAATTACCTTGTTTCTAGAATGGGAAAGAATGAATGCTTTCTAGACTTCCATTGAGCCAAGATGGGTGAACGAAGAGACAAGGATGAGCAATCAGGCTAAAATAGAATAGTCATAATTTATTCTCCAAGCGAGCATTATTCCATTCCGACCTTGTGTCAAGCAGAGAGCTGGATGTTGTGATTACAACCATGAAAAGGACACAGAACCTTTCTTTAGGTAGATTCCAGTCTAGAAAAGGTGGCCAATACCTCTTCTCCTGTGTGCCAACTCCGGTTAATTTCTTTGCGGCCACCTGGAACACCACGGTGACGGCTTGTGAGGCCCAGGTAGAGGGTGCTGTGATCCCCTAGTCGTGTCTGCAGTGGGAATTGGCTAGGAAAGTGACAGCACCCGTGTCATATGTGTATGAACTTTGATCTTAGTATAGACATGAGTAATTGTTGTGTAAAGACATTAGAGTTTTAAAAAGGGTGCCTTTTTCAGGACTTACGTGATAGCGATATCTGAAACCCGTTCCAACTAGGTCACACTGAGAGTTGGGATTGGTTATAAGGATGCAGGGGTCTTCCCATCACTCAGCATCAGGACATTTGCTGGGGGATCGTGAGTGACTAGAACAAGACACTGGGAAGTTGTCAAGAACCATGACAGCAGTTTGTTTTCTCGCTCAGCTTTCTGTTCTTCTCTGTACAGTGGAGAGGTTGCCCAGCCCACAGATCCCAAGTTTAAATGTCCTCCAGCTAAAGCACTTAGCAGAGACCTACTAGCATCTCTCAGCCCCAGTTTCTAAGTAAGAGAGGCAAGATCTGGGTCCGGTGTCCTCTCCTGACACAACCACTGATGCCCAAGGCACACAGTCACATTACCTAGATGCGGCTGCTCGGCTGCCACCAGGAGGGCAATTCTGAAAGAAGATGGATATTTATTTGGGCAGACACCCCCTACCCGCACAGTCTCTATTACAAGACACGTGTGCATGGGGTAACAAATGGTTGATTCAGTCTTGGAATTGGGAAGGCATTAGAGGGGAAGAGACCTTTGAGAGGCCCTTTACAGAAGTCTTTGTGGGATTTCCTTGATGGAAAAAAGAAGGCGGTGATGGAGGAGGCATTCAAGAGAGAAGGGACAGCTTATGCAAAGGCAAGACAACCCTCCTGCAGAGGCCAGGTGGAATGGGGCTGGATGCTCCCTCCCCTGGCCGCTGCCTTAGATTTAAGCCCGCGTCAACTCCTTCACAGGGCATTTACGGCCCCCACAGTCAGGCCCCTGCTTCAGCTCCAGGTTCTTCTCTTGCCCCTGGTCCCTTCCGTCTCTGAGTTCCAGCCTTCTGGGAATGGACCTTGTTCCTCCTCACTTCTGGACTTTGGGACACCTCACTCTTTCTACATGGCCTGTTTCTTCCTTCTCCTCTTCTCTGGGTTGGTTCTTAGCCAAGTTAGATCTCATTTCCTCCAACAAGCCTTCCCGGATCCTCCAGCCCGAGTCAGTGCTCCTGAGGCAAGCACCCTGTACTTGTCGCGGAATTTTCATGGAGTCACATTTGTCTTCTCACTTGCCATCCTCCACGCCAGCTCCCCCCACACCTTGAAAGCTGCTTAAGGACAGGAGCTGCGTCTGACTTGCTGTCATATCCCAGTGCCTGTCACCCAATAAATGTTTGCTGAAAATGGAATGCTGCTGTCAAATGGTGGAAAGTGGGCCTGGAAAGGTGGCTTGGGATGGACGAGGAGGACTCCCAAGTGCCGTGCCACGTTGGGGGAATGACTTTATCTTGCAGTCCAAGTTAATTCAGAAGGTGCCATTTTAACTGGTTCCAGAAAACAAAACAAAGCAAAAAATACAGAATAATTCTTCAGATGAAACTGATCTTTACATGCTTAAGAAAAAAATACTTCTTTTGTGAGTCTGATAAGCCACAAAATCCAGGTTTGCTAAAATTTGGATTGGGCTTTGCAGACAATATGAATAGCAAGTTGGTTTTGTTTCCACTTCTCGGGCTCCCTCCCATGGGTGGCACACTGGTGAGATCAGACTTCTGGAACCTTTTGGCAGCCGGAATGTGTTTCTGTTCCACTGCACCCTGGGCTTAAGCCGACAGCATGCCATCCAGCAGCTGTGCTTCTCGAGCCACAGATCTGCTCATCAGTTAATAGGTGGCATATGTGCTGAGGCCAGGAGCCAGACCCACACCAGAGCAGGGCTTTCCTCAAATACCCTTGTCAGCTGCCGGCTGGCATTCAGCAGAAGTGGAACAGCACCGTCTCCAGCCTTGGGACAAACGAGCTGCTGGGTGGTTATGAGGGGCGCCCTGAGCTTTCCTAGGCATCCTGTGCAGAGCCCAGCTCTCGGGAAGTCTGCCTTGCCCCTTATTTACAGCACTGTCATCTGCTAGTCCTTGTGTCTTTTCTCCACCAGCAGTGACCGTTAAACCCTCGAGTCTTAGAATGTTAGAGCCAGCGAGGTTTTAAAAGGCATCTAGTCCAAGCTCTTGACATCTTACAAATGAAGAGACTCAAGGCAGAGAGATGGTGAGTGACATATGGAAGGTCACCCTGGAGAGGCTAACTTGTAACCTAAGCTGAAACAGCCTCGCTCAGTGCAGTCTGATGGGAAGATAATGCAGGCGGCAAATGTGATTCTAAATGTACCGGTAGCACATTAAAAAAAAAAAAAGAAGCAAGTGAAATTAATTTTAATATTTTTTTAACCCAAGATAGCCAAAATATTATTACATCAACATGTATGCAATATAAAATTAATAGGGTATTTTATTTTCTTTTTTTCATACCAGATCTTCAAAATCCAGTGTGTATTTTACACTGACAGCACAGGCGGATTGGACTAGCGACATTCCTCATGCTCAGTAGCCACATGTGGCTAGAGGCCAGCCCAGCGGCCGGGGCAGCGCTGTAGCCTGTGTTCTTTCTGCTCTGCTGACCCATGTGTACGAGCAAGCTTGATCTTTGTAGAAAGCATTTATTTGTGAGGTTGGTAAAAATTTAGTAAGCTGACATTATTTAAACACAAGGGGTGACTGGCCTTGCTTAAGGTCACAGACTAAAAAAAGATTAGTTTCCATTTGTTCTTATTTATCTTTGATCTTTTTGCTTAAAATAGTAGTGTTGCTATAGGTAACCCTATCAGAGGATTTTTAGCGATCCGTTGGAAAAAATTCCCCGGAGAGCCTGAAGTCATTGTAGAATTGCATGAGAGGCTTCTGTTTTGTGGTTACATGGTAACCACCTTGTTAAAAAATTTGGGCGCTCCCCAAGCCTTCAGCGTCCGGTAAGCCACCTGAGTGCTGAGAAACTCTCTCCGCCGATTAGGCTCTGAGCATTGTGGAACTATTTTGGAAGAAATATTTTTAAACCTTTCACGTTAGACTCAAGAGCACCCGAAACTGACTTGTAAACTCTTGTTTTCTTCCAAGCATGAGCAGAGCATTCCAGAGTCATCATTGGCTTAAAAAACAAAAGCCCCGTAGCCATCTACAAGAAAGGAGTCGTCCTTGCTCATTTTTGAGAGGAATCGGAGTTGGAAAACAGTATCTTACCTTTTTAAATGTGTCACGGTTACCTAAGACTCTTAAAACGAAAAGCATTCCTATTCCTTGATTGGCCTGTCCAGCCATTGAGATTGTGCTGGGAATATGGAAAAGCAGTCGTGCCTCCTTCCATGAAGAAGCCCGACTGAGCTGTCCTTGGATGTATTTCCACATTGTTTCAGGTGCAGGAGAACTTAGGGAATCTTAGCTCCACAGAGCCTGCCCCTCCAGGGTCATTTCTGATGGGAATGATCCAGAATGTTCTGACCTCCTTGGCCACTTTGAATTACTTTTATACGGCTTGTTGCCTCAGAACTGTTGCTGCTTGAGTATGTTGCTTTGTATCTGTGTCTTCTTTCTATCAGGGAAAGAAACAAAGCAGTGGCATTTACTGAGCATCTACTGTATGCCAGGCACTCTGCTAGGTACACGACATGTATTATTTCATAGACTCTCTCTTTTTTTTTTTTTAGAGCCCATGCATTTTTTTCTTCTTTCTTGGTGAGGAAGATTCGCCCTGAGCTAACATCTATTGCCAATCTTCCCCTTTTTAAAATTTTTTTTCTCCCCAAAGCCCCAGTATACAGTTGTATATCCTAGTTGTAAGTCTTTCTAGCTGTGCTTCGTGGGACGCCGCCACAGCATGGCCTGATGTGTGGTGTGCACAAACTTAACCACTCGGCCACGGAGCCGGCCCCTCATATACTCTTGACAAAAACCCAGCAAGGGAGGTATCATATCTACATTTTACAAACAAGTTTGAATTTCAGAATTACTCAAAGCCGTGGGGCTATGAAATGGTGGAGCTGGGATGCAAAGCAGGTTTGTCTGATGAAAACCCACACCCTTTCTGCAGCACAGTGCAGCTGTGCTGATGTGTCCTCAT